TTAAAAACCCAGTAATAATGTACTTCCTCATGAATAATTTGCATTAAGTTCCTCATTAAAGATAACATGAAGCCATTAAAAAAACAAGCTAATTAACACAATATCACAGATTTCAACAAATGATTCTATGATCTACTTGATAGAGAATTATGCAGGTTTAAAGCTTAACAATTAAAATTCAACCCAATGATATGTTATAGAGTCAAAGAATACAGATAGTAAATAGCTGATTTTCAAGGTGAGCAGCACTTCAGAGATGTGAAGACAACTAAAACTAAATCATCATTCTCATACGAGGATGGAGCATTTGGTGTCACTGAGAAAAGTCACATCACCATTGTCATTCTTAGGCACTTATCACCATCTGCCTGATGTGGCCCTCTGTTCAGTGCTTCACCAAGACATGCAGGCCTGAGGTCAGACTGTGGCTTTAAGTCCTGCATCCTGTTCTTCTCATACACACCACCAAAGACACGGTTGCTTCAAAGAAATAGTAACTTCTATTTATATTATAATTTCAGCATTGGCATATAAAGCTGTGGGTCATTGCAAAACACATCAACTGTCCCTTCCCATCAACAGACAGCATTAGTGGTTACTTGATTATTCTGAGGTTTGCTGATTTGAGCTTAATTGTTAAATGTTGGATGAACATGAATATACTATCATGTCCTGTAAGAACAAAATGTAAAAAAATAATTACACCATGAGTTCAAAGATTAAAATGCTGAGATACAGCTGGGCATGGTAGTGCATACCTGTCATCCCAGTGACTTGAAAGCTGAGGCAGGAAGATCACAAGTTTGAGGCCAGCCCCAGCAACTTAACAAAGCCCTAAACAACTTAGCAAGACCATGTCTCAAAAACAAATTTTTAATTAAAATAAAATAAAATGGTGAGAAAATAAATACCACCTATATTTGTTATTTTAGGCTTATTTATAATGTATTTAGTCATTGAACAAATATTTGAGCACCTTCTGTGTGCTAGGTCTATCACTGAACAAAACAGAGCTTCTTCCCCTCATTGTAGATTTTACACACACACACACACACACACACACACACGAAGACAGAAATCAATAGTCATTATAAATAAATTATAAATGTTAGAAGTGCTATGAAAGAAAAAAAAGATATATGAAGGGGTTTGGGAATGCTGAGAGGAAGAGAGAAGGAGGAGTTTTAATGAGATGGTCAGGGAGAGCCTAATTAGAAGACAAGGAGCAGGATGAGGAGCAGGAGCTCAGTGAGCAAGAGAGACCTGGATAAGATAGGAAATCAGAGAGATCATGGAGGACCTTGTGGATCACTCTAAGGACATTAGCTTTTACTCTAAAACTGAGGGTTTCCGTCAGGCTGGGGATATAGCTCAGTTGGTAAAGTGCTTGCCTTGTTTCCACAGTGCCCTGGGTTTGATCCTCGGAATCACCAAAAAAAAAAAAAAGAAAGAAAAACCCTGAGGATTTCCTCATTTCCACTGAAGAACTCTGAGCAGAGGGACATGCTTGAAAAGAGTGTCTGTGGCTTCTTTATGGAGAACAGACTGCAGGGGACAGGGAAGGAAAGGGAGCCCAGATAGGAGGCTACTAGAGGATCCCCAGGAGAGGGGAGAGTGGCCTGGACCAAGGCACTGGTAGTTAGAATCGTGAGAGGTGGCCAAATCCTGGATATGGATCTAAAAGGAAGGTCACCAAGACTTTCTGACTGGATCAGGGTTATGGAATGCAAGAAAGAGGAGCTAAGGATGACTCCAAGGTTTGGGGCCTGGTCAACTAGAAGGATGGAATACCGTCTTCTGAGAGGAAGATGGCTGAGGGAGATGAAGTTTTGGATGGTATATTCAGGACTTTAGGGTTGGATATGTTAAGTCTGAAACACCTAGCAGTCATCCAAGTGGAGATATTAGGTAAGCCGTTGGATATACAACTCTAGTGAAAAAAATCAGGAGAGGTTTAGGCTAGAAATATAAGTCTGGAGTCTCTGGTGTATGTATGTATGTATGTATGTATATATATATATGATGTTTGAACTCAAGAGACTGGATAAAGCTACCAGTGGCATAACAAAAAACAAAAACAAAAAAACAAAGAACAAGGAGCAATCCTAAGACATGCTGATATTCAGTGGGTGGGGGGAAAAGAAGGAGCCAGCAAAGAAACTGAGAAGGAGTGATGGGGAGATAGGAGAAAAACCATGAGACTCTCACGCTCCTGGAAGTGAGGTGAAGGATAAATAGGAGCTATAAGAAGTCAGCCCAGAAGACACAACACTCAAGCAAATGGGCAACTCACAAAAAAAATTGGAAGCAAATGCTACTAGGAATGGTTGTTTAGAAAGTTAGACCTTACCGAAACCGAACCGTACCCTTACAATGAGATTATAAGCAGGTAAGCCTAAAAGAGAGGTCATTTGACAGCTTCCAGGAATCAATGAGTCTTTGTTTTTAAAAGTCAACTACAAAAAGACAAAATATCCAACAGTACTTTGAGAACAAGCATGTACAGTCTCTCTCAAATCATCATATACAGCCTAGCAGATAAAAATCACAGAATTTATAACAAAGCATGAGAGCACTTCAAAGACCTAAATTGAAAAATTAAGTCCCTAATAGATAAAAGATCCAGGTGTAACATAAGACCTCATGCTCATGGCCCAACTCCAATGCTATGAAGCTTTTCTAACTACTTTTCCAAATGGCAATCATCTTTCTCCTCTGAATCTTCTATACCTTCCTTTAAAACCACTTGACTGGCAATCATATTGTCTTACATTTTAAAAACTCCCATTTTTATGCCAGAACTAGGATAGATATTTCACATATATTTTTTCTAATCCTCATAGCAACTCTGTAAAACTGACTTTATCTCTATTTTGTAGATGAGGAAATATGCTTAGAGAGGATGCCAAAAATTATACAACTAGTTAGGGACAAAAACCAAGATTTAAGTCCAGATCTGTCTTACTTCAGAATCTTCACTTTTAGCCCACTCTATAATACTGCCTTTTACCTAAAAGTACCACACTAATAACCATCAGTCACTGTTTCTGTGAAGTTGGGTATATTTAATCTTTTAGCACCTTAGTCTCCCCATCCATGAAATGAGGATACATACATTGCCTTGCTGTGAAGACTGAAGAAGAGGATGTATGTAAAAGTGTCCTATAAATCATTACAGTTATTGTTATTATATTTACTAGGTTTTATGCTCCTTCAGAACAAGTTCATATATGTTCATGTGTGTCACCTTCAAAGGTCAATATAGGACTTAATATGAACATGATCTACTCATCTTTGGAAGGATTCGAATATCTTTTCCTCATCTAAGGAAAAAAACTGTCATCCCATTCCATGAAGCCAGGGTTAAGTACCCATAATCCAAACCTTCAATTATAACAAAGTAATACACTCAGTGCATCCACCAAAGACAAGATTTAAATAGCCTGCAAGGCATTTATTTAGTAGTCCGGTATTTCCACTATAAAGTGGCTTTCAATGCCAAAACAGTGTAATAAAGAGAAAATTCCAAATGACAAATGTCAGTGTTTTTTAAGAAATCGTGCCTGGAAAGAGAAGAGCAAGGGGAAAAGGCAAAGTTTATTAACAGAGTTAACAACCCTTTATGTTCCACACACCATCTGATTTACCACCTCCTGATACAAATAGTATCTCTAACATAGTGTAACTCAGCATCCACTATGTAGTAGAATACAAGCTAGAAAAGACCCAAGTTCACAAATGTAGTATATACACAGAATAAAAAATTTGAAGCTAGTGTCAATTTGTTTATCATTTATCATCTATGTAGATCTGCAAATACCTTTCAACCACAAACAGTAAGAAAAAAAGAAAGAAACATACTAAGCACTTTCAAGCAAATTTTGCCAAGGGAGAATATTTTCAACACTGCTTATTCTTGTTTTAGTATTAAAAGGCTAAATTTTGCTTTGAAATAAACATAAACATTATAATCTGCTTGAGCACTTGAAATTCTAATTTCCAACGAAACTCTAGCTCTCTTCCCTCATTTACAACTTGCTTAATGTTTCTCAAATACTCCTCTGAATAGAATTCCCATTTTCCAAGTGTCCCACAAGTGAATATAATGCTTCATGTCAAATTCATTGGCTTTTTTGCACATCTTCTAATTTCTACACTCTTCTGGTAAAAATAATTTATTAATGTTGGCAAAATCATTACATGAGCTATGTCCCCCGTTATGATTAGCAAGCTACTATGGAGAGCCATTCTCACACGTGACTGGGAGACTCCCAGTTTGGGTCTGAGGCACTGTGACTAATCTGTGTCGGAGCTTTCCCGGCCCTCTCCTGATGAGAGAACCCGTCCGTGTGGGGGTGTGACTGACCACTGACCCCGGGGGCCAATCACTGACCCTGAGCTTGGAGTGCGTCCCCCCTCAACCTTCATTGGATGGAATTCTCCCCTGAATTTCTTGTTCCCCAATAAAAGGCTACTCCCTGGCATGCTCGCTCTCTCTCTCTCCTGCTAGCCCTGAGTAATCCTTGCTGCCCTACGGGTGGTTCGAGGTTGGAGCCAGAGAGGGGAGCCGTCTCGGACCTGGTCATAGAGAAAGGTAACTGAGTCTGTGTGTTTTATTTCGATCTCGCTAGTTAATTTTTATGCCAAGAACCCCATTAATGAAACCAATGCGCTGGCCGCATGGTAGAAGCTACCTCTAGAAAAAGTGACCTACCAAATGTGTTTTATATTGATTATATAATTGCTGTAAAATTTTAGTCTTCTTTTTTGTTTTTGTTTGTTTGGGTTTGGAATTTTTTAATACACCAAAGCACACCATGAAACAGACTTGGTTTAATGGTCCAATGGATGAGCTGACCCTATCTTGAGAGACCCTACTTTCAAGAGTCCCTGAATTAGAACCAGGACAACTTCAACCTGATCTATCTTGCTCTTTTAAGAAGTTTTCCTGTGTGAAATGATAATATCTGTTAGCAGCAGAGCCAAAGATGTATACTCACCAAGTGAACATAAGGCACAAAATATCCAAAAAGTGCAAGTGGTATTCCAACTGCCCACACTGCATAAGCAGTCACCTTGAAGATTCCAAAATTGAAAAATTTTTTTGGAGGACTGAACTTTCTCCTGGAAAAGAGGGAGAATCTGCTGCTTTCACTCTCTTTATCTTTGGCACTGGAAGCAAGAGGTCGGTAAGTAAAGCCAGCCAGAAAGAGAACAAACATGAAGATGCAGAGGACCCTCAGTGTGTCAGAGAGGCCCACGCTGCCAATCAAAACCCTTAAAAGCAAAGGCAGCAAAATTGTGAAGACACTGCTGCCGGCAGTGACAATGCCATTCACCAGTCCAAGACGCTTCTTGAAATAGTGTCCCAAAATGACCAATGAAGGCTGGTATGCAAAGGAGCAGCCGCAGGCAAATATGATTCCATAGGTAAGGTACAGAGGCTCGATGGAACTGTATAAAGACGAAAAAGATGGAAAGCAGCTTTAATTAATTTTATCATGTGCTTGGTAGAATAAAACCTTATAGTAAAAGTAGGTTTTATTTAACCAACATATTTTCGATAAATAAAAATTGACCCCCAAAAAAGGGAAGGAAAACCTTAATAAATCCAGAATGTAGCTAAAAATATTTTAAGCTAATCTGAATATGTGAAAAATGATGGTTAAGATCATCAGTAACTTTGGTCCCTCTTCCCTTTCCATGGATTTCTGGAATTGTGTTCCCTACAGCTCAAAAACAAAGGTTGGTGACAGGAAAGGTCTTGTAAAATTGACAGTAATTAAAAATAACAAAAAAAATCTTGTCTCAATAAAACTTTTAAATTAGCATTTTAAATTGTGAAAACTCATTATTTCATGGAGTTTTCCCAGGTATTTGCTAAGAAATCTAGTAAAAGAAAAGGCTGCATTTGATATTGTCTTCCCAAGGTTATGTCAAGAACATTTGCACAGAAGAACAGTTGTGTCTCATTTTTGCTGGCCTAAGGGCTGTAGAACAACCTTCGCCCTGTGTTGCACTGTTCCCAACATTGTGCAAGATAACAAGAAATCATATTCTGATTTCAGGAAGGCTGAATTAAATGTGTCCATTAGTGATCCTGGTTTGTGAGCCTTAAGGCCATGGACATCTCAAAAGAAAAATAAATGATTAAAGAACTTTATAGTTTAACCAAATAATTATACATTTCTTAGAAAGGCAAAGGATCATATAATTTCATGTTTTGGAACAATTAAGATAAGCAGTAAAAGAAAACTAGGTTGTTTTTTTTTAAAGTCTAATTCAAAAGGCTATCAGTAGTAAAGGCAAACAATTTATTAGAAGCTAAGATAGATAAAGTTGGTTAATAATTAAATTTTGGACAATAATGCTAGTCTAGCAATATGCTGAGGTAATCACAAGGAGCTCTAGAATCTAATAAAATTAAGGCCTGTTAGCAATTCTCTCTGAGATGCCCTTCTCCCTCAATTAAGCTGCAGCTAAGCACTATCTTCAAACCAGGCTCTGGAGTCACTAATGGTTTTCCTACATTTATCTCTCCTCACTCTCATCATCTTCTACTCAATCTCTATTCTACATTCAACAAATATTATGCAGCTACTAGGTACCAGGCACCTGGTGAAAAAATATTAAACATTTGGTTCTGCCTTCAAGCTACTCATAGTAGGCTAAGTTAAAAAATAAAAAATACATCTACCCTAAGAATACAGGACAAAATATAAAACAATACTTTATTCTGCATCAAATTTTCCACAGAAGCAGTTTTTTAGATCATTGTAACTTCTTAAATTGTCAAATTTTAAAAGCAATTTTTAAGCAAATAACCTAAAACTACTATTAAACATTTTTCTGCTTCCTTCAAAGTATATATTAAAAATAGTATTGTTAGGTGTGGTAGCACATTATAAGAGAAGAGAAGAGAAGCGACTCAGGAGACTGAGAGGCAGTAGGGTCACAAGTTCGAGGTCAGTCTCAAAAATTTAGCAAGACCATGTCTCAAATTAAAAAAAAAAAAAAAAAAAAAACAACCTAAAGGGCTGGGGATGGAACTCAATGGTAAGGCACTCCTAGGTCCAATCCCCAGTACCAAAAAAAAGGAAATAGTATCATTATGAACATCAACTATTATGCCTCAATATTGTAATGCTGTCAGTTATAAACCAGATAGCCAAGTGTATAAATCAGAAACATTCTTTTAAGCATTATTTATTTTTATTTTTTGCAGTGTTGGGGGTTGAACGCAGGGCCTCATATGTACTAGGCAAGTACTCTACCATGAAGCTGTATCTCCAGCCCTACAACACTAAATACTAAAACTTGTAAAATTAGTCTCATCTCTTTCCTTCAAAACAAAGTACATGAGCCCTTGTGATGGCACTTTCACTGATGCTGAGCCTTTTTTTAACTTTATTTCTAGATGTTAACCTTAATAATAAATTATTCCAGTTGCTGAAGTTTAACAACTGAGTAAGTACAATATAAATCACAGCTATGTGCAAACGGATTCAGAAAAGGGGCCTCTGATGAGATCCAAGATGCTGGAGGCTTTCCTGAGAAGGCAGAACTGAAACCAGAGGAAGAGTGCTTCTACTGTTTGATACTTAGAATTTATACATATTTCCCTTGTTCCTGTATATTGCTGTAAAATTTGGTAGCCTTTAACCAGCAGGTTAAATAACAAAATTAAATAAAATGTGAGGACATTACATGGGTCAATCTCATTTCAAAATTTTGCTTCTCTTGGACAGGGAGGAAAGTAGGAGAAGAGAGGAGATGAACTGGGTTGACAACATAAAATATATTTCAGAATTTTTATTTCCCAAACTTAAAAAAAAAAAAAACTTTGAAAAATAATGCTTGTTTGTGTTTTGTCTACCAAAATGGGAAAGTAACAGGTTATACACGTTTCTACCTCTCAATCCTCTCTCCCCCAAAGCCTGAGTATTGATACACTCAGCAGGTGGTAGAGCCACAGTGATAGATAATGGGTAACTGGAGGTTTCAGATCAAAGAAGTGATCTGATAAGGCCTACTAACACATGTTATATTGTTGTCAAAAAAGAACTAAAAATAAATGATCTCACAGAATTGCCTAAACAATATCTTATTTCAGACAAAACTTTTTTTTCTTTAAAATGAAATTTAGGAGAAAGAAATCATAAAAGCAATTTAGAGATACGATGTCTATTTTCTACCCAATATAATTTTTTAAAATCTAAATAAAATTTTAAGTTAGGTAAAAGAAGTATAAAAGAGGCTCATTTTTAAATTTGAGGGACAGGTGTGTGTGGTTGAGGATAAAATCAGAATTCAGTTGGCTGAATACTAAATACTTTTAAATAAACATGGCAAGAAATGCAAGTTTGACTTTTTCCCCTTAATGACCACAATCATGTTTTTCAACTAAAGCAGCATGAAGATAGGTAGGGAAGAGAAAGAGGCAGGAAGTGAAGATAAAAGAAAAGATAAACCACTAAAGTACAGAGAATGGAAATAATCTTAAGAAGTTTTCTTATTAATCAGTTCCTGTTAGCCAGAGCTACAAATTAAGCCAGAGTTTTTCTGAGGATTATTCTAACCGTGTAAGGGAATTACTAGGACAACTGGAGTTTTGGCTAAGCCCATCGGCTCTACGAGCTTAGTATCTTTTCAGTACCCTCCATCTTTTTTCTAATAGACACAGGGAAAGTACTTTGACTTTAAGGTTTGTTCTAAGGTGTACTTCACTACTTCATTTTGTCATGATATTCAAACATTTTAACATAATCTTACAGGTAGGATTCTCTACCCAGGTTGGAATTAATCTTTAAATTTAATTTTTAAAATTTAATCTTTAAAAAATGTGGGGAAAAGTCTTATTCATATTAATAAACATATTTTCCTATCGGGCTGATGAACAATCTCTTTAAAATACCACTTATTGTACCCCTCAGGCCTCAGATGGGGATGACCTTAAACTCGGGCCATTGTTTCAGATAACTGACAACTATAACTTATTTGCTTTAGAATTTCTATGTGAATAGGAAAAAAAAAAAAAGAGAGAGAGAGAGAAATATTTTTCTTGGCTCCAAAGAACACCTATATCCTGACTGACATAGACATCTTATTTAGGCATGCAAACAAAAGCATTCAAATTCAAGATCTGATTTGCTGATATGAGCAAAATTTCAATTTGTAAGTCCTACTGCTTAACATTTTAAGCAAAGAAAAAGGGATCACTCCTTGTAAAGTTCCTGAAAGAAAACTTCAGGTATTTAACACTTTTTCAAAAGCAGCATGAAGAAATCAAGTTCTTACCTTACAAAAGAACTGGACATGAGTCCAACAAATCCAACAGCAGCACCCATGACAGCTGTTTTCCGACAGCCAAATATGTCTGTGAAGACACTGGCTATGGGGCAGCAAAAGAAAATCATTCCCATGGAGAGGGAACTTACCCATGCTGTAAAAGATGGAAAGAGAAAGACATTATGACATGGTAAATTATATTTGTACTTATTCCTCAGAATATAATACACATTTAGAAAAATATTCATGCAAAAAGTTATTGTTCACACTGATGAATGGAGGAAAGTTAGAATAAATTAACAACAAATCTGAACTATAGCTCAAAGCAATATTATAATTAGTCTAGCAATTATGTTTAATTGAATACTTGAAAAGTTTGTACTTGTAAGTAAATTTAAACATTCCCCTAAGATCCAATCTATCTTAATATCTCTCTGTGACTTTAATCTATGGAAAGATATTTATATAAAGAAAATAAAGTGATATGTTTAGGAATGTATTCCTAAGTGGTCAAATTGCAAAGCAATGACCACTGAAATCATGACAGTGGTTAAATTTTATAACTATTTAAAGGATCCACTCATTTGAACCCAGCTATTAAGGGGAGATCATTTGCATAGGGCCTGGGCTTAGTTCCTTTACTAAGGAAACTAACTGATACACTAGTAGATAGCTTTTTACTTGAATAATAGTTACTGGGTATTCACTTCATTTATAAAACTAAGCATATGATTTATCTTCTTTTCTGAAAGTATGTTATCTTTTACAATAAAAAAGAAGAATCCAAAGTCATAGCTTCTGGTTCTGATTTATGAAAATCCCAAACAAGAAAACCAAAAAGGAAGAAAAATAAATATTAAATACAAATAATTATAATTTTGGGCTGGGGATGTGGCTCAAGCGGTAGCGCACTCGCCTGGCATGTGTGCGGCCAGGGTTTGATCCTCAGCACCACATACAAACAAAGATGCTGTGTACGAAGAAAACTAAAAACAATAAATATTAAATAATATAATTCTGTCTCCAAAAAAAATAATAATTATTATAATTTTGTGCCAAAGAAATCAGTGATCTCGCAGAATAATCAGTCCTAAGTCAAATCTCCAACTCTGAAACTATAACATGTCCTTGGGCAAGCCACTTCTCCTCTGATTCTGTTTTCTTATCTTAAAATGGATCAAATACATACCTCTCCAGAATTATTAAGGATAAGAAAAAGTATACCTAAACCTCAGTATCTGGCATATGAGCACTTAATATATATATATATTTTTTCTCCCCTTGAGGTGCTGGGGATTGAACTCAGAAACTTCACACACTGGGCAAGCACACCACCACTTAAGTATACCACCAGTCCACATTAGCACTTAATAATTTAAAAATTTAACAACAACAAATTGTCCTATAAAATGAAGTAGATGATCTCTACTAATGTACCCAGTTTTAAAATCTTCCTCATATATTTCTCTGTTTTCATAACAGATAAAGAAAGCCCAAACCTATCTAATAAGCTTTATTTTTTATCTTATTTATTTATTTATTTTTGGTGATGCTGGGAATTGAACCCAGGGTCTTTTGCATGTGAGGCAAGGTTTAAATCCTGGCTTTACCATAGTAATAATTTCATTTGCTTCTTTGCCTTCTTGCATTTTAAATTATTTTTAATTATATAAACAGTATTTTAATCATCTATATTTCTATTTCTTTTATTCCCTTACAAAAAAGAAGAGTTCAATCTGAAAATGCAATGAAGAAGCGGGGCAAACAGTGCCATCTTGATTTAGATGTTGGTATTGGGGATTCAAAAGTGAACAACAGAGGGAGGTTAATTGACCAAATAAGTTGGCATAACCCAACCCCACACTTGCAGAGCCTCCCGGTATGGATCTCCTTGAGAAGACATATTATTTTTTAAGTCTAATCTCTTATATAAAAATTATACTAATCTGAAATAATTTAATCCTATTCAGAAAGTTTAGTAATTTATGTTTAAGAAACAATCTAATATTAAGACTAGGCAGATTTAGGGAAAAAATCCTAACATCTACTTTTAGATATAAGCACTTTTTTAAAAATTATTTTTTAGTTATAGTTGGACACAATACCTTTATTTATTTATTTTTATGTGGTGCTGAGGATCAGACCCAAGGCCTCGCACATGCTAGGCGAGCACTGTACCGCTAAGCCACAATCCTAGCCCTAGATACAAGCACTTTTAAAAAAATTTTTTTAACTTGTTCTTTTTAGTTGTACATGACATGTATTTTGACATATAGTACATACATGGAATATAACTTCCCATTTTTGTGATTGTACATGATGTGGAGTTTCATTGTATTCATGTATGAACATAGGAAAGTAATGTTTGATTCATTCTACGGTCTTTTCCTAATCCCATCCTCCTCCCTTCCCTTCATTCCCCCTTTGTTTAATCCAGAGAATTTCAGGTATAGGCACTTTTAAAATCAAATAAGATGCTGACATTAAATAGTAGACCACGTCAAGGAATCCAGGAACTTATTATTACACATAATGCTCATGAGTCAAGGTTCAAGGAAAAAATAAAATTGCACAAGTCTGTAGTTACTGTGGATTTGGGTGAAACTATACATGTTTCTATCTTCTTTTCTCTAAGTATGTTATCTTTCACAACAAAATAAAGAATTAGAAATCATAACTTCCTATTCTGATTCTGTAAAAACTCAACCTCAAAAGAGAGAAATAAGTGCAAATAATCATAATTTTGTGCTAAACAAATGAGTGGTCTCATAGGACATCAAGTCTATATAAAGAATTATAGACTTCAAAACAAAAGAATTATAGACTTCATGTTCATTGAACAAGCACTAACAGCAAGATATAATTAAATACAGCTTCTCGTCCTGACCATCCTCTTAAAATTTATTCAATTTATTCCTGCTTTTTACCTGTCACTCAAAAGACTCATTGTTGGAGCCTCTCTCCCTCTAGCCAAGTCTATCTGGGAAAGAGTCAAAACAGCTCAAGACTACCTCTCTCCTCCACTGGCCTTCCTCTGATCTGCAGGAAACACATATCCTTTGCAAATTCCAACTAGTCACCCCTGTGTAGCTCTTGCTGTGGGAGCAGTTATCCAGCAATTAACCTCTCTCCTTGTTGGATTTCTTGGTCAACTCCCAGTTTTATTCTGTGCTCCCCAATGGGAGGGGAGCTCTTTAAATGTCTAAGAGATGCCTCTAAAGACCTTTTCACTAGCTATCAAGTGAGAGAACATGTACCCCTACTTCTCCCATGAAGTAAAGAAGCCACAGCATATTATTCTTATTTTCTCAAGAATCACATGTTCTTTCTTGGTCCATAAGTATCCTTCTTACGGGTTTTAGAATCCCTGACTCTTGAACACCTACTATGAAATGCTATATGAAATATCTCATTTCTAAAGTTCACACTATAGTATCTTAGTACCTCTGCTGAAATGCCAATAGAATATTCTGATATAATAATAATAATTAGCAACAGATGAAGTTAGGCTGGTCTTCTGATAAAACCTAAGAAGAAATTAATTCTTGAATGGATAATTGCTTGCGACTGCAAACTCATAAATTTTGCAGTTTTTGTAAAGTTTTAACGTGGTATCCAAAGAATTCAAGGTCTTATTGGTTATTACATACACCATAAAAATTGAAGTGGCCTGAAATGAGGTCACTTCCACTTTTGAACAACAAAAAGCCATTGCTGTGATGTGCAATAAAAGTTAATGGTGCCCCACAAAATAAACAAATTAAGTTGCTCTTTTTTCTTTTTTCGTACTGGGAATTGAACCCAGGGGTGCTTTACCACTGAGCCACATCCCCAGTCCTTTTTATTTTATTTTGAGACAGGATCTCACTATGTTACTGAATGCCTTGCTAAGTTGCCAAGGTTGGCCTCAAACTTCTGATTCTCCTGCCTCAGCCTCTCAAATCACTGGGATTATAGGCATGTAACACCACGCCTAATTCTTTCTTTCTTTGCACATCTATGATTATTATTAAAGACTCAATAGAGCTGGTTATTGTGCTGATAACATATTTGTTGAGCTCAGATCATTTCATTTAAATCTTAAAATGCTACTCTAATGTGGTACTTTTATTAAGTTCATTTGATAATGGAGAAATGCAAATACATAGTCACTATATCTAGCATGGTAAAAAAAAATTTCAAATGCAAAACAGCCCTAGTTCCTCTATGTCATTCTATCAAATACTCACGTGGGGTTTCCTAATACTGTTGAAGAAACAAGGTTTTTTCCCAATGGAAAATGTGCTATTTTCATTATTTTTATACTGTGATACAGATCTACAACATCCTTCCCTATTCCATTAAAAACACCTAATGGTCTGAACTTTGTTCTCAATAGAGCACTTGCCTAGCATTCACAAGGCCCTGAATTGGATCACCAGCACTGAATAAATGAGTAAATAAATAAATAAACAAACAAACAAATAAATTATAAAAATTTCCATTATGTTTCTGGTACTGTCCTAGGCTATTGAGAATATAAATACAACTAAAAGATTTCTCCACTTTCCAATAATTTTCAGTTTAATAACATATATGCAAACAGAGGTTCAATTAGAACCCAGAGAGAATGTGCTAAATGTTTTAAGAGAAATAGGTGCCAAAGGAATGCTTTAGGATATGCTTGTATACTCTTATTTGAATGTGTGAGTGTTTAACATTGTAGACCCACCCATTAAAGATGTCAGACAGAGAAATCTTTATCAAATATCAGGAAGCTTTCTTTCTAATTTCCCCAGCCAGACTGTTATGGTTTACAAAATGTGAGGTATCCCCCCAAAGCTCATATAAGAGACAATGCAAGAAAGTTTAGAGGTGAAATGATTGAGTTACGAAAGCCTTAACCTAATCAGTGCATTGATCCCCTCGTAGGGATTAACTGAGCTGTGACTATAGGCAGGTAGGGTATGGTTGGAGGATGTGAGTCTCTGGGAGCATGCTTTTGGGGTATATATTTTATGAGTTGAGCTTAGACTCTCTGGTTGTTTCCTGGTGCCATGACCCCAGATGCTTTCCTCCTCTACATCCTTCTGCTATGATGTTCTACCTCCTCTACAGTAACAGAGTTGGCCATGTATGGAATGAGACCTCTGAAACCATGTGCTCCCAGATAAG